CAGACAAACAAACCCAACTACAGGAGATGTTTGAATGATGGCAACTAAATACACAAGCATACTGAAGAAGATGGACAGGTAATTTTAGCTGGTATAAAGAGAAAGCAGCTACTGTCTGCTTATTATTCTTATCTTATTATTGCTACTGTCTGTTTTGGGATCCTCTTGAGATATTCACTCTTAAATCCAAACTCTAAATCTGGAAAAGTTTAAATGATATGCTGTTATGTAACTCAGCAAGAGCACCAAGGACTACAAAGCAGTAAACATAGCAATGATTTTTTAAAGATTTCAAAGAAATGAAGATGGCATAAGTGGCAAATTATAATACAATTTTTTGTGGGAAAGGTTTTGAACTTGCAGAGTGACCACCGAAGATCATAATAGCAAAACAGATATTAAAATATAAAACATAATTCTCATACTCTCACATTAGGAGCATGCTCTAACACAGTTAATTATTTTGACTTTTTTGCCCCTGTAACAACTTGCAAATTACTTTTTAAACACTCTACAATGCAAATGTAATCTTCCATATCACAAAGAGCTGCATGAAATACCTACATGCATCTACAGGCCTCTAACACTTATTTCCTAGATCTCCAGAGGGTGCTGAACTACAGTATGCATCCCAGCAGTCTCAAGCAGCATGTCATTATATTGCTAGTTTGTGTCAACAATATCTAAAGGTTCACAAGCTTTCCATCCCTGGGCTATACTGAATATTTACTGTGCAGTTGAAATAGCTAGTTGAAGGAAAATCTATAACAGCATCAAATACTGGACAAGTATCAATTTGCCACACCCATCTCATAAAATCTGTTATATCTTTATTCCCATTAGAGGTTTGAGTTGCATATCACTCTAACTTAGGGAATCCTCCAATTGCACAGCCCAAATTCATATTATCTTGCTAATATAACTGCAGAATTGGAAAACATGTGCCAAGGACTATTGCAGAAAATGAAGTGTCTGTCTGGGTAAGACAAAATATCTTCTGCAGTGAAGCTTGCTACATCTGAGGAAATAGCAGTATTAAATGAAAACATCTGAGGACATATGAGGAAATAGCATCATTAATTTGTGGCCAATTTTTTATTTTTAATGTTTATGTTTTAATACAAGTAGTTTTTGATCTGATCATAACAAAATTTTCAATGGTCATAAGTTAAGGCATCCACTTGACTCAACCCAATGTTGCTCAGATTTTTTCATTCATGGTTAAGTGAATGCTGAGGTTAAGTGAACACCAAGATTATTAAGCAAATCCATGTGTTCCTACGAGGATTTTTTTCCCAAAAACCAGAAAAAATGTAATAAATTGTGGTCACATGACCACAGAATACTACAACTGCTGTAAAGATGAACTAGTTGCCATGTGCCCAAATTGCAATCATGTGACGTTTGTGTATGGCCATCAGTCATTGAGGACTGCCTGTAGCTTTAATGTTGTTTAGGTTGTTTTATTATATCACGCTACTGCTTTGCTGTTACCCAAGTAAGGACATTTTGTAAGAAAACAAATTTTAATATATCCTGCAACTGGCTGAAATACTGCTCCCCCAAAACCTGGATTTTTTTTGTCTGGCTTATTTGTACATTTGTCCAATTGATGTCATCTAAGTCAGTGGTTCTCAACTTTTTCTTCACCACACACACACACCCTTTAAATACCTTTTGTGGCCACAGACCATGACCACAGACCACCAAGACTTAATTCAAGATTTAAATAATATTTCTTCAAGCCTTCGCGGATTTGTGGACACCGCTGCCCCCCAGAGGGCCATGGACCACAGGTTGAGAACCACTGATCTTAATGTACAATAAGTTAATTATGAAAAGCATTGTCCTGAATCTGTTGCTCATAATTCATTTTCTAATTCTGCAAGGTATTTTTTTAAAAAACAAAACCCATTATGGCACTTCTAAATCATGGGTGTAATCTCTTTGCATGGATTTTAAATCTCAAATTAAACCATAAAAAATCCACAAAGCTCCCATCACCTGCATACTAAAATCAGTTCATAGTAGCATGTCATTTTGTGTTGTAGTATTTTATTACTTATTTAGTAAAACACTGAATATGATTCATTAAGAATATTTTTCCCAGGAAAGTGAATGCTTAGCTTGTGGGAAAGAACTCTTGGATCTTAAAAATAATCATTAACACATGGGTGTAATTTTCTAAATGAATGCAGAAATAATTTGCCACTGCAGGATGCTTTTCCGCTTACAGCCCTATGATATGCAGATGGTCTCTCATTGTGGCATTAACCAGATGCAATCCTACTCGGTTTTTCAAAATTAAATATAGGTAGAGGCTAGCCAACTTCCCCTGGCAGATGTTTGAAAAGTACATGAGCTGAAACAAAAACTCCAGTTGCCCTATCTGCAGAATTTACAAAAAAAAAAAAATCAGTTCTATCAAAGTCCACAATAAATACTCAATAGTACACTAATAAAGGGGATATAAATACATTTAAACTTTCATTTAAAAGGAGCTATGTGTAGTGTTACTTACACCAAAAGCTAGATTTCTGTGAACTTGATCTGTGGGCCACATCGCTTCAGTTCAGTCGGGATAGGTATAAGTTTAGATAACCTACCTTCATTACCTGGAGCCTACTGATGAATTTAAGTTCACACACTAGGATCCAGCTATAAGGATTTTCATCAAGGGAGAAACTAGAGTTCAATTTTTCCACTTTATGAACCAACATTTCTCCAGTAATTATCTTTGTCTGCTGAAACTTTTGCCTATCACCAGTTCCATTGTCTCCCTCTTGCCATTCTTCATTTCTTGTTTTATAAACATATTTACTTGCTCTTTTCACACATGCCTTTGAAATAAAGCAAGTTAAAAGCATTTTCATTTGTATATCTATTTTTCTCTTGTTGCTGTACTTCTATTTTTTAAAAATTGTTAATTCCAAGCATTCAGTTTGTATTGGGGGCTGTAACTATGTGTGGCATTCTGCAGAAAATGAAATAGACAGAGGAACTAAATCACTTCTGGAAAACTAGTATAGTGTTTCTCAACCTTGACAACTTTTAAGATCTATACATTGCAACTCCCAGAATTCCACAACTAGGAGTCCATACATCTTAAAAATTGCCAAGATTTAAAACCATTTTGTGTAGATTAAAGGCCGTCTTGAGCTGTTTCCCAAGATGCAATTTCCCTGCAGTGCAGCACTCCACAGGAACTGGCCGCATGCTGCTTACCTTCAGGCAGCGGTCTCTTTCTGTTGAAAGGCTCCTGTGTCCTAGCTGAGGCTGCTTGAAGTTGCATGAGGCCTTTATCCTTGAAGACACTTTGGGGGCTCTTCTGCAGTGTCCAAAAACCACATGAAACCATGGCCCAAATCTTTCATGATTTGCAGAGGCCCCAGAGGATCACGCTCTTGCAGGATTTCCAAAGGCTCTGGAGGCCACATGAGAGCACAACCATTCTTGTGCAACCTCCACAAATTGCATTAGCAGGGTGTGTTTTTAAGAATAATCATGGGGTGCTGATCAACGCTGATGTGTCACCCAAAAGATAGCGGCATGTCACCTTTGATAGAATTGTCATAGATTCGCCAACCCTAGTGAGAAATTAAGTTGTTGGACTGCTACTATAGAGATTCAGATTCATGTCCACCCTCATCCTTTGACCTTGAGCCAGTCATTCTTTCTGCCCAAACTACCATATAGGGTAATTGTGGGAAAAACTGGAGGAGAAAATGTTCTGTGCCTCAACAAAATACAAGATATACATCTGAGGTGATCAGTGAAGCTACCTAAAAATATTTATAAACTAATAGGATTGCCTCTATCTTTAAACATATCTTTTATTATTGACTGGGAATAAAGTAAAATCAATAGCAAAAGAAAGCTTCTCTGTAATTATTGTCAAAGACATTTTTCTGTTACTAGCACACAAACACATGCAACTGTTTTATCTAGTGTGAAACAAAATGTTGCCCAAATAATAAGACAGCCTTAAAAAGAAGTAAAATTTATAGCAAGCATATGTATTTCAAAACCTTAGAGATGCTACATAACTACCAAAAACTAAAGTTTATAATAATTTAAACCTGTGTTTTCTAATTTACTATTCTTGCTGCATCCCCACCTTTTTCTTGATTAACATCTATGAATTCCCTCAATATAGCAATGTCAAGAGAATTTCACATTTGATATCAGGCAAATTAAAGCTGCAAAAGAAATAGTAATTTAAGTTTTATAGTTTTGTTTATGAGCCTCCCGGGGACAAAAAAAGAAACTGCTAATGCAGAGTTTTAGAAAAAAAACATGAGTCAGAGAAGAAATTTGACCAGCTTATGTCCCATAAATAAATAATCAGGAAAAATAGGTTTTTAAAGAAAAACTACTGAGGCTATTACTTATGCACAATTCAAGCAGTTCTTACATGACAAAAACAAGGGAGATTAATGCAATCCAGACAACACCAAAATTGGCTCCTAATTTTAGCCAAATTGGACATTTGGTAACCAGCATGTATTTATAATGGTTGCAGCACAATTTTGCAACTTTCTCAGCCAATTTTCCACAAGCAAAATCAATGGGGGAGGGGATTTGCCAGTTTTGATTAATAACTTGATTTGCTTAACAATCATAGCAAAAAAGCTGTAAAATCTGACATGTTCACTTAACAGTGAAGGATGTTCCAGCCCCAATTGTGGTACTGAGGACTCCCTGTACTGTTAAAAAAGATTAGGAAAGTCAATTAAGAAAGAAAATAGTTTCTGTTCCCCTTGATTGTCCAGAAAGCTCTACTGTTTTCCATATCAAGATACACGGTTACTGGAACGTTTTGTGAAATTGGTCAGGTCAGTGCCTAGATTGGCACATAAAAACTTATTTGGTTTGCAATCAAAACACTTTGGAAATAAAAATGGCTTTAGGAAGTTGTGAAAAAGATAAGCTGTCTTGAAAGCAAAGGTCTTAGTCCAGTGAAAATGTGACTGCATCATAAATGGCACTAATCCACAGACCAAAGTTTATAAAGCTTTATTAAATCTGTTGAACAGCTGTGCAATGAATAACCAACAAAAATAATTTAAAAAAGCTACTGAGGTTTCCACGACTGGATTTTCAGTTCCATGTCCTTTGAGAGAGACAAAAATGCCTTTTCAGCAACATTCTTCCAAGGAAGATTGTGTAGAGACAAATGAGAAAATAACTTTGGAAAGTAACAGAACAGGTATCTGTTTGTCTTTTCCTCAGGCTACCTTAGAATTTCACACCAGCAATTAGCTCTTGAGGAGGAAAGAAAGCCAAATCTCAGTGGAGAAAAGGAGAGAAGAATAAAACCACGAGCCAGGTACCACTAGAAAAACGGCTTCACAGAATCCTATGAAGATATGTAGCTTAAACAGATGTCACTTTCTTTCACCTCTATATGTGAACACAGGCTCATTTGCTTGTGATAACATAATACTTTTGGCCTAAAAGAAAAAAGCAGCACATTATACTCCACTGACAGCCCCACCTTGGTATGGAGAAACCAGACCTGATATACTGATCCATCCCCGCACTCCGATTGCTTTTTCAAGCTAGAAACACTGGCAGCTTAAAATTCAAAAGCAATACAATAAAAAACAAAATTCCCCAAGCTTTACAGCAGTGCATGCTTTCTTTCCAATTCAGGGTCCTCCATAAAAAGTAGATGTTTGGTAGAGATGTTTGGGATAAAGAGAGACACAGGGGGAGGGGGAGAGGGGGAGAGAGAGAGAGAAAGAGAGAAAGAAAGAAAGACAAGCTTCGGCATTTGTGCATTAAAAATGGCATCGTGATGATTTTGGAATTTTTGAGCTGTGACATAGATGAAGTAGTTTGGGAAACGGGCAGTATACATGTTCCAGGATGGCCTGCTGAGATAATAAGCAGCTGCTTCTGGCTCCAGGTGCTGTCAGCCTTATCAACCACTTGATAGTTCCCCTTCAGATGAATACCGTGAGAAGGACTAGCTTTCTCCCGAACTCAAGATGGAAAAACAGCGTTGCAACTGTTTCAACAAAGATCTGACATTCATGTTCCAAAGGATGGATGGCTACCTTCTCATTTGACGTTAGACAACACTCAACAGGTCTCTTCACCACCAAATTGGAAATGGAAGGACCAAACTCAAACGATAATACCGAAGGAAGGGATGGCACCCATTAGCAGCTCTGCTTCAAACCCTCGAACAGACAGCATTGCCAGCTATTACTAATTAACAACTTTTGTCAAATTGTACAGGAAGATTGTGGAAGTGGGGATAATCATGAATGAAACATTTTAACCGAAACATGTACTCCAATCACATGCCTTATATTCCCTCCTTCCCATGACACCGCCCTTTTAAAAGGAAAAAAAAAAGTGCAACCAAGTAGAAGATTTTAGGTGCCAACTACATTGGGATCATGAGCAGAGTCCGGCAGTTGGGAACCAGAGCAGTGGTATAAGAAACAATTCCCCCAGCAGCTGTAGCAGATGAGAAACAGAGCAGCCAAGAAGACCAAGGCACAGATTGTGCAAGGTTTCCGCTCCAACAAGAAACTCAGAAGGTAGAAGCCCATGAACATTGAGTGACTGAACCACAAGGCTGGGTTGAGGGGCTTGGGAATGAGGAGAACGGGCAGTAACCACTGGAGACAGTACATGATGCCTGGGGATCAGGATGTCACAGTGATGGCAGCAATCCAAGTCGTAGTATGAAATTTCTCCTTTGCACATTCAGCTCTTCACCAACCAGGTACTTAGTCTTCATAAAACTTGGGAATAATGTGCAAGTAAATCTTGACAGAAAAGGAAGAGAGGGGAAAAAAGGACAGGTCAGTAACATGTTTTTTTTACATTTGCATTGCTTACTAATACAACCCAGCAGAGATCCAGAACTTACCTCCAATAACTTAAACGTTATTGTATCCCCAAATCCCTAGGAACTATCTCTTACAATATAAAATTTTAGTCATTTCTTCTCCAAGACAGTGGATAGAATGGGCATAGAACATTTGCAGCACCACAATCATTTTTCTATTATGCACACTTTCTTCAATACATCTGGGTACCTTGCTTTTGAGTATACATTTGAAAAAGTCCAAAAACAATTCCCACTATGAGGATCAACATGTGAAAACTTCCCGAATATGAATGACAACAGCTTCCTGAATTGGAAATATATTCTCTACACATCTTCCTTACTGCAATGAAGTTACTATAACAGGGGAGGGGGTTGGAGGGGAATCAACATAATGTACGAGAAATGCTGTTCTTCCCTTTTCTCTTCAAATATTGAGGCTGATATAGAACTATCCAATATAAAAGCCAATATAGGTGGTCTTCAATGTATGACCACAATTGACCCCAACTTTCTGTTGCTAAGCAAAGCAGTTAATTGAGTTGTGCCCCATTTGGCAACCCTTTTTTGCCATGGTTGTTAAGCAAAACACTGCAGTTGTTAAGTGAATCATGTGGTTGTCCATCAAATTTGTTTTTCCCCATTGACTTTGCTGGTCAGAAACCGGCTGGGAAGGTTGAAAATGGTGACCACCTCTCCCTGGAATGCTGCAACTGTTGTAAATACAATGCCAGTTGATAAGCAGCCAACTTTTGATCATGTGACCATGGGAATGTTGCAAGCTGTACGTGTGAGAACTGGTCATTTCACTTTCACTTTTTTGAACAGTCACTAAAAGAATGGTTATAAGTTGAAGATTACCTGGCTTAAATTAACCTAAATCAACTAACTAGGATTTTAAAGACACCATTTCTCATTCTCAGACCGGCATCATAAACTATTTGGAGTAAATATTGATTTACCTATATGACAATGTCATTGGGAGGTTGAAAATCTATATGCATCATTTTTAAAATGTAAAATGCATTAAATGTTGCTCAACTTTGATGACAAGGGAAAAAAGAAAGTGCTGAAAACGAACACTGGGAACCAGGGAGAAAGAAAGTGGTCCTCTCATATATGGAACAATCCCACTAGCTTCTGATCTTTGGGAGGAAATATAAGCTAACTTTTAATTTCCAAATGAAATGCTAAGAATATAAGGGGCTTAAAAACGAGGACATGCATTTTGAAGAAATAATCCAACTTTGGTATAAAAATGTAATGAGCTAGTTATACTATATCTTCATAGTCCTGCTTCTTGGAACAACAGAAATGTAACTGAGGATATACTCCTAAGAATTTACTGAATCTGGGAAACAGATTTATGGTTTAGCTAAAGAAAGGAATCCCAGAGGAAAAAAAAAAATCTTGTGTGACATCACACTTGTACAACTTATGAACCACAATATAATTAGCTTTAGTACTGGATAGGAAAGCTGATGATTAAAATTAACTTTATATCTGCAGCAGTGTATATTTCCCATTTATATGGAAACAAAGAAGTGCAATGTAATGCACTGGTATGTTAACTTTGCCAAGATAGTAACTTACTACTCTCGCAAGAAATGCATCTCATCATGGCATGTATCTGAGGAACTGTCTCTCCTCAATTGGACTAGCCCGCCTCACTCACACCAGTGGAATAGACCTACTGTGGACCCCATCTGCTAAGGAATTCCAGCAGGAGACAAACCTTTTCTGCTGTGACTGCATCCCTATGGAACATTCTATCACCAAGGTGAGGCTCACCCTTTTGGTCTTTCAGAAGAGTATTAAAACTTGGCTTTGCTGGTTGGCCTGGGGCCCCAAGGAGGACGCTCATCACTGAAGTGGCTAATGGAGTAAGAATACCTCATCCATATCCTGTCTCTTGGTTCTGGTTTCAGTATAATTTTAAAATTATAATCTGAATAGTTTTAATGTTTTGATATTTTAATTGTTTTGTACTTATAACTTGTAAATAGTCTCAAGTCACTTTATAGGGAAGATAAGCGGTAAAATAAAATAAAATAACAAAACGAATCTTAGTTCCCATCTCCTAAGATTCAGGTAAGAGGAAGCAATAGCACTTTTAATTATGAAGGCAGAATGTCTCAGTAAAATTGAATGTGGCTTCCTTAAAATAAAAGCAGAAACAAATAATTTTGAAGCATGGCATCCTGCTGAACAGCATTTATTTAATATAAGAATAAATATTTGGAGATACATGGTAAATTTGTGCTCAAGAAAGAGGAATTGGATATGATTTACTAGAGGAGAGGTAGTTTCCCAACCTGTAAATACACTGAATATTCACAAGCAGGCACATGATATTACGGAACATATTATTAAATATCTGTATATTGTCTTATCATTATCTTATATGATAGTATCTTATACATCATTTCAACTGACAAAAAATACATAGAGATCTCATCAGATTCTGATCATGCACACTTCTCTCTAGGACAAAGTTTAAGGAAAAACAACAACAAAAAGCTCTTTAGAGGAGAAGTATATGTTTAATAGCTTGCTTTCTTATGTAACAGCCAAGTCATATAGGTAATGTAACTTTGGAATCTGGGACACTTGAAATACATTTCCCCCACAAATAAGTCTCTTCATTATATCAGCCTGTCAAATGTCCCAGTTCCATTCAGAAACTCTTAAAATCGCTGTAATTATGAACGTGAAAAAAGATTAAGGAAGATTATTACTGTGCAACCTGCCTGTGATTCTCTTAAATGATGGCAGTACTTGCAGTGTATATGACAAGAGTGACCTGAGGTTTGTAACTACCTCATTTGTGGGTAGAGAACAAAGCAAGGGTAAATAACTGCTTCTCTTTTGTGGCAGCAAAACAAGCCTTTTAGAATCAGACAGAGATAACAAAGAACTAGTGAAGATATAAGACTATTCTACTGATTTTTTTTCTATTGAAAAGCTATCAGATAGTATTATGTATACTGTTATAAAAGCTACCATATAAGGCTAAGTTGGGAACATTCAATTATTTTTGAAGTCCCACTTTATTGATTACTTTCTTTCTTGCAGTTGATGCAGGCAAAAACAGTATCAGCCTTTTGCCTACTTGTTCTAAAAAAAAATCTAGAAATCATTAGATATTCAAAGTATTTTTTAAAAGCCTACACTCAAGCAAGTATCTCTCTTAAAATACAGATTACAGTTTTCAATGTAGTTGCTCAAATTCCTTTAATGGCCTTTACAGTATTCCATAGGTACTTGAAAACTAACAGGCCAAAGCTGAAGGGCATCCTCATTTGATTGGCAAACCCAAAATCCAGATAAGGTTCCAGAAAACTGAGTTGGGAAAAGGATGGTATTGACCCCTTCCACCCCATTCTTAAGACTGCTGGTCAACTTTTTCAGAGGGGAAAACCTATAGGGGAATGTCAGTGAGTAACTTTTTCCCTTCTTTTACTGGTTAAGGGTGTAGCATGTACAGAAACCTACAGGGGAAAGTCAGTAACTTTTTCCCTTCTTTTACTGGTTAAGGGTGTAGCATGTACAGAACCCTGAGTTGCAAAAACCTGTGATTTTAAATTCTGGCATAATAGCAATAGCACTTAGACTTATATGCCACTTTACAGCCCTCTCTAAACAGTTTACAGAGTCAGCCTATTGCCCCCAACAATTTGGGTCCTCATTTTACCCACCTTGGAAGGATGGAAGGCTGAGTCAACCTTGAGCCTGGTGAGATTCGATCTGCCAAATTGTAGGCAGCTGGCAGTCAGCAGAAGGAGCCTGCAGTACTGCATTCTAACCACTGTGCCATCAAGGCTATATAATGTTGTGTGAACATGTTAAACTGTGAATATATACACTGAGTTCTGTTGAGGTAATCTTGATTTAAAGTGTTATATAAATCTAACCATCATCGTTTATAACTCATGGTTTATTATTGTCAAACTAGCAAATTATGGTTTATTCATATTATCATTAAGCATGATGTAGGAACCAAGCTGTAATATGACTTGGCTGTTTGCTCTATTGTGAAGTTTAGAATGATGCATGAATCCAGCTACAGTATGAATGGCTTTGCTTATTACTGTAGCTGTTGAAAAGACATTTTCATAACAAAACAGAGAGCTATACTGTGAGGGTTTTTTCACAGCTAATTGAGCAAGGCACAGTAAGTTAGATCACATATGTTAAACCAAAATAAACAAACATTATGATCTATCATTATATAGGAATCAGAAATCTAAATGTGTCCTTACTGATGTTAGAATCGAGTATCTGAGAGGTGGAAGCAGATACTTACGGGAATTGGAAGCCTCACTTATAAATTTTTCCAAAGTGAGAAGCAGCTTGGATTTGACACAATTTTTACTATTTTATGTAGAATCATCAAAACACTAGGTATTTCTGGTGTATTATAAAACCTGTATGTTGAATAAAAATTGCATACTGATCACCACTTAAGTATGAGCCAGCTCAAGTGATTCATCCAGTTCAGGGGTGTCAAACTCGATTTCATTAAGGGCCGCATCAGGCTTTTGTTTGACCTTGGGGGACTGGAGTGGGCGTGGCCAGCTCAACGTCACTCGTGTTGGGGCACCTGTGGTGGCCTGAGCACTCTGCCAGCAAAAACAGGCTTCTGAGCTCCGTTTTCAGCTGTGACAGCCTTCTGCAACTTTCTGCCAGCGAAAATGGAGCTCAGGAGGGCTCTCCTGAGCTCCATTTTTGCTGGCAGAGGCACTGCGGGCTGGTCCTTTGCTGTTTCTAGGGTGGCCTCTCGAGCCAGATATAAGCACCCTGCGGGCTGGATCCAGCCCTTGGAACTTGAGTTTGACACCCCTGAACTAGTTCAACTCCTAGTGATTTCGCAAATTTCTTGCTACCAACATGGTAGTATAGTACTTTGCCACTGTCTTCTGGGAACTTTTTTCAAAATTCCAATCTCAGTATAGTCTAGAATTTCCTATAAAGTACTATTCATCTCTAAGTCTGTTTAGATATTTTTAGATTACCCAAGGTTCACTAAGTGTTGTCATTAATTAGACATATTGTACTACTGAACATCTGATATTTCCTTGTATCTTGCATTGAAGTCAACAGGAAAGATTTAATAGGAGCATTCAAGTAATCAAATTTGCATTAACTTCAAAGTACAAGAACAATGAAAACAATAACTTTGTAGTTCATGCTGTTCACTTTCCTCTCCACATTCTTAGCATATATCATCCATTACAAACTTAATTCCTATTTCGTTGCCACTTTGAGACATTTACATGCCAACATCGTGAGATCATCTGGGAATGGCATGAAATAGATCACGACTAGTTCTCCTTTATATTTGGCCACAGCCTACAAAGTTTTCATGAACATTGAGCAAGAGAATCTACACTTTACATTTATTTGTTCTAAATATCTGGGGACAAGAAACCATATAAAGCTTTTATCCAACATTTTCCAGCAGTCTACCAGAAGAACCTGAGCTATCAAGAATATCTGAAAAAGTTAAAACCAAAAGAATTTTGTTCAATAATCTGAATTCTCAGACATGCAAGCCATATAAGTGGAAGCTATAGTTTCATTGCACGAGAAATAACATATAACATAAATATATGGAAATAATAGAAATAAAATACTAAGTAAAATACTAGATTCATCTTAAATCTTCCAATTGTGAAAAGTATAAAAGGAAAAGCAGGCATTTTCCCCTTTTGGCAAAGAAACTTGTTATTCAATAAAATCAAATCTTCAAATAAATGGAGAAATACTATGAATCAGGATTTTCATCTTAAGCCAGGTTTCAGTGCCTTTTTATTCGATCAATATCAGTAAAATTAAATATTTCCATTTTTACAGGAGCTAAAAATAAAATAATGCAGCAGTTTTATTTTTGCTGCAAATGAATGAAAATTAGTTAAATCTCTTACCCTAGTGCATGCACTTTCATTGAGAGAAATCTTTTCCTTTTTTTGTAGCTTTGGTGTTCAGTGTAGCTAGATAGTCTTTCTTCCCTTAAAGAAAATGAAACAGTTTGTTGTTGAGGGCCTTAGCAATAGGTTGAAATTTATCTGTGTATCAGAAACAATACACTGCAAACTATCCTGGTCACAAAAGCAATACAGGTGAAATATATTCACCTCAAACAATTACTTCATGATAAAAGACCAAGTATAACGAAAACTTTCCCCCTGTGATTTATCAGCATTTTTTTGGTATCTTGAAATCAGTGCTGTCTACTGGAGATTATCTGGATTAGTCCTACAGTTTCTTGGCAATACTTTTTCAAGAGGTTTGCTTACTGCCTTCCTTTTTCTTAGCAAGAGAGAAAGTGACTGGCCCCAGCTGCTTTCATGCATAAAGTGGGATTAGAACTCATTTGTCTCCTGTTTTATAGCCAGATGTCCTATCGCTATCAAATGTGGAGTAATGTTTAAAAAATTACATTCATGTAAATATTCTTTGTATGAAACATAGTTAATCAGAGGATTGAAAAAGAGCTGGAAGAATATATGGAGTTGAAACAGATAATTATCAAAATTCCCTGGAACTATACAATTTGGAACAGAAAACCTTCTTAAATTCAAAAAGGTAAAAAGTAAAATTCACATAAAAGCAGGAGAGGGCCTTCAATTATAATAAAATAATCACAATCTCTGATTTGTTTATTCACATCTGGACTACAATTTTTAGTGCACAATCCCAACAGTTAATCTGTGGAATCGAACTATCTTGATAGTCTCATAACATTTTCCTTTCTCTCTCTATAATGTACTGGACACAAATCTGATTTACAAATGTATTTCTTCCTTGCACTTCAATGTAGTTGTTTACCTCCTGCATCAACTAGTTTCAAAAATTAAAGGAGACACGTCAGATATGAAAACAGAAAGAATAATCATAAATATACCAGAAGGAATAATTTGCCTCTTGATTTTTCTAAAACATTAAGTTTCCACACACAGAGAACTAAAGTAATCCAAAATATACAGCTGTCAAAAGCTGTATTAGCTGTATAATTTCCATAGTTTTCCAGCAAGGGAAAAAACGCTCTGTTCCAAGCTCTTTAGTGCTACGTTTTAACAGGAAAGAGGCTTGCAAACTAATGTTTATTCAGTTCTCAACGGTCCATATATATTGTAATCTGTATGAACATGTTGGTGTTCTAGATCTCTTATTGAACTATTAAAACTGATTACTAAATCCCTATGCTGAAATACTTTAAGACAGAGACTCCCATTTTAGAAAAAGCATGGGCGATTTTACTAGTCTACCACTTGTACAAACCAATTTAACTATCATCCTACTGCCTATTCTTAATGCCCAAAGCAAGAGAGTATGATGGAAAAGACTTGGAGTAAGAAGTAAGCCTACCACGAACAGTGATACTTAGAGTTATAATGACCTCTGTAAAAGGAGTTAATATTTAAGAAGTGTGAGGTCGAGACACGAGACCCCTTTAATTCATCATTCGGTGTCAACAGCAGCCTTTCATAGATGCCTCTATGGAGCCCCCCCAAAGGCTCTTGTCAAACCCTGGGTCTCTCATGCTGCGACTTGTGTAACAGCCCTTCGTGGATCCATTTCCCACAACCCTTTCTGTCCCTTCGGAGCAACCAGTGCAGCCAGCTAAGCTAGTTGTTCCAGTTGTGCCAGGCATTTTTCGAAAGATTTATAACTTCTGGCTACCCTCTTTTTTTCCCCTCCCCCTCTGCCTGAGCTGCTTTTAGAGGACTAGGGCTGAACCGAAAAGCAGCCAATAACCATCCTCTTGTTGCAGGGTTTTCCAGAAGCAAATGTCGGGATCTGGGCAGGCGGGGGGGGGGCGGTTCTGCCGATCCGTTTTACGTTTGCAGAGCCGAACTCCCAGCTCGAGCCTCCCTGGGAACGGATCTGTCGGGAGGGTGGGGTGGAGAGGCGATCGTTCGGTCCAGCCGATCAGCCGCCACGGAGACCGCAGTCCAGGGACAATCTCCTCGGCTCGTACGGCATAGCGTACCCGCCCAAACGAACGTGCCCACTCCGTCCCCCACGCCTCCAAAGCTCTGCTTATGGGGTACCCGGCACACCCTTCCCCTCACCCAGGGCGACGACATATGTTTTCAGGGTTGCCGTCGAGGGACAGGAGCGAATCCGCTGGGCTTATACCTTCCCGGCGACAGTTCCCCTCAGCACCTTCGGCAGCTCCCAACCGCGCCCCCAGCAGCCGTATTACCTTCCCTCCACGCCATAGCGCCCCGTCGTCGCCCCTCGCCACGCTAATTCGCTCGCAGGTCTCTCGCTTCACGCAGGGCCTTCAACTGTCGTTTGGATCGTCCAACCCGGCGCCTGTTTTTTAAAAAAATAGCGCTCGCGATTCGACTTCTCCTGGAAACCTGGAGGATAACCCGCGGCTTTCCGCGCGAGCCTTTCATTCCACTTTTTCTCTCCCGCTACAGAAACCGCCGAGCTGTTCCCAAGAATCAAGCGTTGTTCCGACAGGCATTGCTGTAGACAACCCCACCGTCCTCGATCTGACGAGGAGGGAGGGTCCTTTTCGTTAGGCTGGAAGCTGAAGATGCATTATAAATACTGTGCAGTCTGCATGGAAGAGAACGAGGAGGGAAGCTGGATGGAAAGTACGGACTGGAATACGACAGACAACGGACTTCGAAGGCGGCAGCGTATGTGTGGCTTGCACTGCTGTGATGACAAAAGTGAAGCTGGTTTCCTGCTCTTCTTACCTCGTTTAGTGGCGGCGACGGAAATGCTCTCGACCGCAATACGGTAACGGGGGTCGTTTTTCTGGAAAGGTGACAGGCTCCATGCTGTCTGGGGCTTCGGCCACAACAGGAGGTGGAAACGCAGCAAGCCAGAATCTAGGTTGGAGAGGAGACCACTTTGGAACACTTCACTCGCTATGAATTACTTGCAAGGCAGATCAGGGCTGAAAAGGCTCTGCTCTTCTTTATTATGGTCTTCGCAATAAATGTATTTTTATCTTACAGAAGTTTTTGTTTTGACCTTTTCAGAGATACTGAAAAATGTCTTTGTCACATTTAATTGGGGACCTGAAATTGATTCAGGAGTCTATGAACTTAGTTGCCTCGTTCGTTTGGTTTGTTATTGGGATTTGGGGGGGGGGGGGGGTAAAATTATTTTTATTGGAATGGAGTTTGAGACCCCTTTTTGTTTTGTACACGGAATGGCTTTTAACTATACTGCTAGGCTGAGATAGCTTATGTTTTTGTATTTACACACACGTTCATTTGAGAAATACGTTTTTCAGACACATAGAGACCCCTTCCTCTCGCGACAGAAATGGGAGAGTGCTTAATAGTACTTTATTTAAGCTTGAGAATCTGGTGAAAGCATTTGAGGAAGACGGGAACTGCCAAAAAGAAAGTTTTGTGATCTCAATTGTGGCATATTGAAATTCAGCGAATTTATGTAGCTCTAAATGAGGCCCCTGTATGATTTGCTGATCAATTTTGAGACTCAGCATGGTGATTTACAAATTGTATAGCTTGCTCATTACTTAGGTTCAATTTTTGTGCAGTTATACCTCTTTCATAAGACTTTTTTTTTAAAAAAATGTATGTTTTAAATACTAGGGGAGGAATATCTGGATTTATTTCATTGCATGAAATAGCTAAACAAATGCCATTTTCAAATATTAATTGAATAGAAAGACAAAGGCGTATTTAAACAAAATGGCCAGAAACTAGAGCATACAAAACATTTGCTAGACCAATATTCGAATACAGCTCATCAGTCTGGAACCCACGTTACGTATCTAATATTAACACAGTGGAGAAAGTCCAGAAATATTTCACAAGAAGAGTTCTCCACTCCTCTACTCATTGCAGAATACCTTATGCCACCAGATTTGAAATTCTTGATTGCAGGAAATACGACTTCAGCAACATAGTGGTCAATGTCTGGAATACTGTACCTGACTCTGTGGTTTCTTCCCCAAACCCCAAAAACTTTAACCTTAGACTGTCTACTATTGACCTCGCCCCTTTCCTAAGAGGGGTGGGCATGCATAAGCACACCAACGTGCCTACTGTTCTTATATGTATCCATGTATTCATAACTGTTTTTACTTATACCTATTATCTTGTAAGCAATTGACAAACCAAATAAAATAAAATATAGTGTGTATTATAAAGTTCAAAAATGTTAATCTCAATATTCTGATGCAGATACCACCTTCTGGTGGTATATAATAGCAATATCACTTAGACTTATTCCCCGCTTTATAGTGCTTTACAGAACTCTCTCTGTCAAGTCTTCAAACTTGGCAAGTTTAAGACTTGTGGACTTCAACTCCCAGAATTCCTAAGCTGACATGACTGGGGGAGAAATTCTGGGAGTTGAAGTCCACAAGTCTTAAAGCTGTGAAGTTTGAAGACCCCTGATCTAAGTGGTTTACAGTCAGCATATTACCCCAACAATCTGAGTCCTCATTTTACCAACCTTGGAAGGCTGTCAATCTTGAGTTAGTCTTATTCATATAGTTATCTTAATAGTTTTCAAATGTTTTTGACTCTTAATGACCACCTAATTGTTAGAGAAGTAGTGAAAAAGCCAATATGCCTCCTTGCATAGAGTGATAAAGTCAATAACCTGAACCCCAATGTGGTAGCAGTAGGATCAGCAAATAGAATAAGTTAATGTTCCAGTGAATTACCTTTGTAACAAGGTAATAGCAACTTTTTATATGGTGTTAAATATGTAAATTCATGTGGTTAGATTATAGAACATAGAAAGTAGATCCATTGTTGATAATAGTAATGAACTTTCTTTGAAACTCATTAAGAGCAGGCCATGGCTAGTAATTTGCCTTTCAGGTATAGATTGTTGTTTTGGAAATAAAAAAATCTGAATGCAAATCGAAATGTGGTTTTGAACAGATTTAATTTTTTTTCTGGATTAAAGGTCACATTTGGATTTTACAATACTTATTTGTAGATTCAATTCAGATGGCTATCCAATTAGAATTGGAGCTCTAATATTTGAGCAGCTAATATCTGATCAAAACAGCAAACAGTATCAAACAAAGCAGCCTAAAAGCACATTGCCTCTGAGGTCACATGTGTATCTTGCCTAATCATCCCTTAAAGACTTACTATCCTTGTCCAGCACCCCAGTGGAAGTGCTTCACAAAAGACTGGCAAGATGTAGGCCATCTGGATCACAGGTGTATACTGTTCCACAGGGAAGGCATCATGGCAGACATGTGTCTCTTGATCCCATCAAATGATGTTGCTTAATTGAAAGGACCTGGAGCATGTCCATTGTGTGTTGGATCATGTGAGAAAGTCTCCCATATCTGGGAGGCCTTAGAACCCATAGCACTCAGATTTAGCGTGAGCTTCTTTCTCTCTACACACCCCCTCAGCTTCTGGACGTTAATAATGAACAATATTTAACTCAGAGTTCAATAAAGATGAGACTGTGCACTGTTTTGGGTGTTGCATCTTTAATCAGAATCATTTTAGCTATTCATAAACTTTATCACCACTGTACATACTTGTAGCTTTCTTGACAATACTGCAAGTGCTTTCCACTGCCTTTTTCCTGAATGCTTTTTCAACTTCTGTCTAATGTACAGACTAGGTATTCCCTGGCTTTCTCTTATCCAAGTACTATCCAAATCTTATTCTCCTTAGCTTCACACCATCAACCAAAATAACAGTATACTTCAGAATGGATTAGTGAACATGGGATAAAAACTGATAAGTTTTCTAATGAAAACTTCTAATGAAAACTTATTGACCAATTTCTTTATCTTGCATGATTTTGATGGGTTCACTCAGGTGAAATTTTTGCTTGGCTATCAGGCAGTATGGTACATGGAAGACTGATTAATATGATCTTTATGAAGACCTTAATACCACTTGTCAATTATATATTGAAACCTTTTTAAACTATTTGTGTTTGCATACAAACAGCATTCATTTCCCAATTTAGATTATCATCTTAATCTAAATCCTGTGGGTATCATTAGCCAGCACCATGTTTTTTTTTCTGTTTTAGAGTTTTCTTTGTCCAGGTAGCTCATGCTCTTTAAGTCACAAACTGTTATGGAGATTTCTAGAAGCTGCTTTCTCCAGTGACAATTGCATCAGTGTGCTTCAAATTGTTTTTTCCTCTAAAATAGCAATTTGCCAAAATTAAATAGTTATGCAGAATGCCCTCAAGCACAAATCTATATATTTAATATTTTTTGTTTCTTCTCTCTTACATCCACCAACACAGTGTTGATGCATTGCTCTCAAAAAAAATTCTGCCTTCAGTTAAGTTGCACATCGCAATTAAAAGGTGCAAGCTCAGTATGTATATAGGGCAATTGAAGTAAATTAGCTAATGAGATAAGAGTGGTTCTACTTTACCAAAACCAGGGAGATAAAAAGTCAAGAGCAATTCTGTCTTATTTGAAGTTGTCTTTTCAGATAATGTAAACATCTTCAGAAGAGTAAGCTTATCCCCTGGGCATTTTTATTTACAGTCCTGAGATCAGCAATGAAGGAATTATTTTTCAACAACCATGAAAAATAATCCATAACAAGAAAATAAATAAAGTCTTGCAAAAGGTACCCTGCTTCAACCATCTACCTTCTCACAAGTTGGCCTTCATTTCTTGGCTGGAGAGTTCCTAAAGCTTTCAGAAGTACATGCACCAACTGTCCTCAGAGAAGAGGTACACCTCTTATTTTACGAATTATGTTTGCTAGTCGCTTGGCTAGGCCTCCCTTCTTAGGTTCTTCCACATGGAATGTTCTGGTCAGAAGATTGTAAAAGGAGCCATAACACACAGCTACCACAGTGCAAGTCAGGCAGATCACATTATATGGCATGCTAAAATCTGGTGTTGGCAGATTCACCAGTAGGGGTTCAGTGTAGAGACGTACAAAGTAGCTGGAGCCATCAAAGGAAGGAAATCTGGGAAATAAAAAAAAACCCAGCAGTTTAAAATCAGAGGTGAAGATAAAGATATTTTTGAGTCAAGCCCTACTTCCAATGACGAGTGCAATTTTCTTTGCAGATTATAGAGCTGATAAACCACTGCCTTCCTCCAAAATGCATTTCAATTTTGTTACCCTAGAATCCAGTAATCCTGGAATTCACAGGTGGTCCTCCAGCCATGTTCAACCCAGTAAGATCCCATAGCTTCTGAGATCTGCTATGGTGAGGTAGACAGCACCATTGGCTGAGGAAGATTAAAGATATATAACTTACCTGTCAAAAGACCTTAGTTTTTTTTAACTGTGTCCAGTGCTTTAGCATGCACAAACTACTATGAATATTTAGGATGAGGCTTCATTCAGGAATTGGACATTTACTTCATA